ATCCTGGACTCCTGCCCAATTTCTAAGAAAAGTAAGACTCAGGAGAGCTTGGGGCACCCAGGTTTGCCTCAGACTTGAAAAGCTTCTCTAATTGTAATTTGTTTGGTTGGATATACAAAAATACATAAGTTGGTTAGACATATGTATTGTTTTACATGGTCAGACATGGACAAAAACATGGACATCCCCAAACTCTTTCTTCTCTGTCAACTGAGAGCACCCAGCAACATGCTCCTGCCTTGCATTGGCACCCGTGAAATACTGAAGTCGGCCAGGGGGCTCAGTCCTGAGTTTCCGCATGGAAGTGGCCTGGCTATTTCTCCTGCTGCTGGAGATAGCACCAAGAGCAAGGCTTGCATGTGCTGGAGGAGAGAGCACTCAGGACTCCATGGAAGGTTCTGCAAGGGCACAAGGACCCTCTTGCTGATGGCACATCTGAGCAGTGTGTGGTGGGTGAGTCACTTAACCTAGTACAGCTTTGCATGTGCTCAGAGCACCCTCTTGACTTCAACAGGGGTTTCCTTTGACAGGTGGCTATTGCTGCTTGCTCTTTTTGGTTTGTTTGCCACAACCCTGGCAGACTCAGCTTTGCTTTGGCCTTTTCCTCTTCATTCCCCCTGCTCCTGCCAGACCTCAAAGCCTGCACCCTCTGCCTCCTCTGCTGGCCTTTTCAGACTGGAAGGGTTTTTAAAAGTCCCTCTAAGCAGCAGCTGCTTTGTGGCTTTGGGGGTTTTTTTGGTGTTTTTTGTGATGAGCTGGAAATTAATTTCTTTTTCATTGGTGTTGGACTATCCATTCCCCATGTCACAGCGCAGAATGAGCTCGTAACTCTGACTGTCTTGCAGCTGAGTTACAGGGTCTTCTGTAACATAGCCCAAAGGGTTTAATTTAACTGTGGATGTTTTGAAGAAAGCAGTGGAGATCTGACAACTGTCTAGTGCTTTTGCTGTCTGCACATTTAGAAGGTCTTCCTTAATGTTTGACTGAAAGGTTCCTTGTTTTATATTAAGCTTAGGATTTCTTGTCTTTTCCACAGGTGGGGAAAGGTGGGGGTGTCCCCCCCTTTCCTTTTTACTTGTCTGAAGAATGTAACCATGTCTCCATCCTCTCTAGACTAAGCATCACAAATGCTTGCCATCTCTCTTTGCCAACCATCTCCTATAGATTTCCTGTCACTGCTGTCTGTCTCCTTTGGACTGTCTCCAGTTGTTCATACCATCTTGGAGATCAGCATCCCAAACTGGACAACATGTTCCAGCTGAGATCCTAACAGTGCAGAAGTCGTGCGAGGATAATTTGGACTGCTTATGCATGTTATCTTTCTTGTGCTTTGATCCTGGTTGCCCTTGGCATGATCTTGAACAGGTTTTGGGGCAAGTAGGGTGAAGTGTTTCAGTTAATGTCTAGGCCACCTGTTGTTGTCTCCTTGTCACTACACATATACACTAATAAGACCATCTGTTGTAGGAACCTGTGTTTCTAATCAGGGATGCTTGGGTGAGCTAATATGAAAGGACAAAAGATGCAGTCTGCTCGTGGGAACTGAAGCTTGTTACCCCTCCTGCAGATGCACCTCCATATAGGCTCCTTCATGAGACTGTTTACAGGGTTTAATATGTCCATTAATATGCAACCTGTGTTGAGTCTCACCTCAGCTGATTTGCCGTAGCTTTCCCAAGTGTTTGCTTGCAGCTGGATTGATGGCATGTGGGTTGCTTGTCTGGCAAGTCTAGAGAATGGAGGAGCCACCAGTGATTTTCATTTAAATCCCCTGCAGGATTTGGGGTCAGTCCCAGGGCATGACACCAGGGCCTTTGCTGCCTGCTTAGCCTTCCTTCCATATAGGAAGAAATTGGTGGGGTTGTGTCCTCTGGAGCCCTCTTCTACTCACAGAGCTGTGGAGCAGCCACAGGGAAACAAAGTCCTTGCTCTTTTCTCATCAATAGCTCTGCCTTTTTGTAATTTCTCCTTACAACCATCAGCTGACTCATGGGGTTTTTTTTTAATGCCCATCTTGGTTTTAGTCCCCTTAATGATTAATAACATCTAATGACACTGTCCCCCTGGCTTTGCCCCTAGTAGGGCAGCATCTAATACTGTGGTGCTTGCTCACTTGAACAGGCCCCTGGTTTTAATGGACTTACATGAATGACATGATATGGATGCAGGTGCAGTTCAGGGGCTGGGCTATGTCTTGGATTCTTTTAAGAAGGTGATTATATTTCTTCCAGCTTGATTTTTGGGCATGGAGAGGGAGAGCAAAACTGAGACATCTAGTTGTGAAGCAGGATGACAGTAACAGTCATGAGCAGGAAAGCTTTGACCCCTGCCTGCTTGTAAGCTAACCCAGCTGGAGGCAGAATAAAGGGCAGGTCCAGTCAACAGCTGGAAAGGATGAATAGGAAACCTCAACCTCCTAAGGGGAGCAGAGACTGAGATCCTGAAGTTGTTCTCCTCCTGTTCAGGAGGTCTAAACTGTTCAGGTGTGTCTAAACTAGAGCGTGGTTTTGACAAACCCTCAAGACCTTATGATGTTCTAGCAGTAATAATAGAAATGCAGATTTGTGTGTGTAAGCACAAGATTGTCTTTGATACAACCTCTGTCTTAGTGGAAATGACCAAAGAGAACTTGCAAAATCCCAAGTGTTTCTCAGTTTACCCCCAAAGGTGAAAGTAAATCAGTGTAACTGGCTTCTCTTGTTTTTACCAGAGTGTTTTAGGTAATCCTCTATTTCTGTTTTCACTTGGATGCTGTTTGCAGTCCAAATACTGACAAGTGCTGTACCCCCATCTCCTCCTCAAACTTGTCTCCTGGAGTCAGGCAATTAGATTAGACTCTCTTTCATCTAAGTGCTTTTTTTATCTTTCTGATCTGTGGAGGAAAGCTGGCAGATATCATCTTTAAAGGTAAGGAAAGTGGAGTCAACATTTTGTATTCTAGAAATCTCATTATTTTCCAACTAATATGCTGATTTTGTATGCTGGGGTTTGGCAGTGACACAAGGGTCATTGCTGAACAAAGCAGAAGCAGGTCCATCCTGGAGAAGCCTGCGTGGGTAAAATATGCATTTTCTACGGGTGGAAAATATGAATTCTCTGACTCATGTCAAGGAGTGAGGCATTGTGGGTAATTTGCCTTTGACTCTCACTTCATGGCACCTTTCACAAGAGGAAAAAGTGTGTTATAAGAAGTTACCTGATATTGCACTGTCCAGAGTGCTTTTCTCTGGCTGGATCTGGGGAGGGATTATCTCAGATTTTCATTTAGTTCTGAAATCCTGGGTATTGGTTTTATAAACTAAACCCCCTTCGCGGCAGGTTGCTTATTCTGTCTTGTTGTTTTAGCTTGATGCATAGGAAGGAATTTCAATTTTCTGAACGGATGGGGTGCGTGCCTTCCTGGGGTAAACCGGCGTCGTTCAAATATTTAAAGGCAGATGCATCAATAGTGGCAGCTGAGGATCTGGCTTACTTTGATTAAAATCTGATGAAGATTACTCAGCCTTACCAAGGGACTTGGATTACCAGTCTATAAAAAGAAAAGTAGGAGAGGACATTAAATATAAAAATAATCCAATGAAGGATGTGAAGCTAAACTCACTGAAAATTGAACAATAATGAAAACATCCTCCTTAAACAGGTGGAGGGCAGCAGGGCTTGCAAGCGAACATTGCTCTTGGAGCTAGGTCTGAGGCAGAAATACTGCTCTTGGGTTTCTCATGGCCATGGCCTCATCTTTTAAAGGCAGAATTTTTTCAGAGAGGGCCTTGATCATTAGCAAATCCCCAAGGGAGTGTTGCGGGAGGAGACGTGGGTGACAAATCCTTTGGAAAATCCTTGCCTCTGCTTCCTCAGGAGACCTGGGCTAGTGCCAAATCTCACTAGCAAAGAGGTGATTGAAGCTGAGGAACAGAAAATCAACTCTTACAGACTTCAAAATGTGAAATGTGCATTTGTCTTACAGTGGATGAACTTCAACTCTCCCTTTTCATCACAGCATTTTTCCCCCTTCGTTCTTTTTAAAATGTATTTATGGAATGTTACTATTATGCCATGTGATTAGGCTTGATGGCCAGTGACTGATAGGTACATTGAACCAAGCTTGCTGGGCAGTCAGGAGAGGTGGCCTTTTTCAGGAGTCTGTCAAGCCACTCAGCATGTGTCTAGGTTCCCCTGGATTTCTTAGGCACATGGTCCCTAAACTGTATAAAATCTGTTTTTTCCTGTGTTCCTGTGAAATAGCAGTGCAGCTACTGGTAGGGCAAGCACACTTGGGTGCTAAGCTAGATGGCTTTTGAAGTCTCCAAATTCTACTGAGGGCAGCAGAATGATCTATTGAGCATGCTGGCTTGCTCAATGGGCTTGCTTGGGTGGGAAGCATTTCCTTTACTGATCTTTGTTGAAGACATCTGGAAGGAGATTTACAGGGGTTCCAGGATTTGTGACTAGACTCTTCTTTTATATCCAAGGCAGGCAATAGTGAGTGCATGGTGAGCTAGCTGGTCTGGGTTGACTGGAAGATGCTTTGACTATGTCCGAGGACTCTGGGAGCCTGGAGACTGGGGCTGAGTGGCCTTAAAAATACTGATAAGTTAACCTGATGCACTGGTATTGCTGGAGGAAAGGCAAGGAGTGGTTGTAGGGTCTCCTGGGCAGTTATATGCATGGGTGGTCAGCAATATTGCCTTAATGCAGCAGCAGCAATGCCAGTCTCTCCAGTATTCTTTAGTCGGAATTAGGGTCAGATAAGGATAACATTGTGTTTTAATAAGTATTTGTTAGCAAGTGCTTTCCCTTTCCCCCTCCCCTCTAATATTGTTAATTTTCCTTGCAGTAACACATGCATCGTTCAGCTTCTGTTCCTCCATGTGTCATGCTCTGTTACTCCGTCTCACTTAACAGCCGCAGAGCAGGGGGAATGCTGCCAAGGCTTTTTCTGGGAATTTGCTCCAGTCCTGCTACTTCCCTGGGAGTGCTCAAGTGATGTGTTTTGTTTGCAGGGGGAATAAAATGCTCAGCTGTCAGCTCCTCAATGGACAGAGACCAGGGCAAAGACGAGCTGCTCCTTTGTCTCTGTGCACAGGTGCCCGCATAGACATAGCCACGGTAAGTTTTGGCCGATGACTTTTTGGCAGAGAAAAGTTGATAAACAGTGGATGTGACCTTTTTGCCCTATTTTAAAAGACATGAGACTTTGCTTAAGGCAGCCTTAGGTTAAAAGTGCATCTCCCCCTAGTCCTTTCCTATGTGCAGAAATGGGGGCTACAAGTGCCTGTGATACCCCATGGAAGGGTATCCATCTGTCTGAGATGCAGTTGTATTTTTCACTTGGGCTGGGTGTGAAACAGTGTTTAAAGGCATTGTTAATTGCAATGCATTGGTGAACACATTTTTAAAACACCTGCTTCCTTGTTGGAGACACGATTATACTTACCCAGACTAAACTGCTGCGGGGAAGGTGGAGACGCAGTGCTCTCTGTGGCTGTCTGGGCCATTCATTTGTTAGTATAGGGTTGAATTTCTGATGACTCAGAAGGAGCTTATCTGCCCCTCAGCTATTTGCAGATCTGAGCATCAGTGGTACTGTTGCTCAGAACCTTAGTTCATAACAGAGTTGGGACCAAAAGCCACCTCAGTCTCAAGGTGCATGTAAAAACAAGCAACTGAGGTTTCCCAAGTGTCAAGTTTGCACAGGGCACTCACAGGCAAGTCCCAGAAAAATAAGGAGGATGCAAGGTATAGGATTCTTTCTGCTTGCCTCAGTTTCTTTCAGGGTATGGGAGCGAGCAGAGGGAATTAAATATTTCAAGCCTCTGTTTGAACCATCTGAAGTAGATTAGGAATGAGAGATGAATGTTGTGCAACAACAGGGGCTTTACTACTGCAGGAGCTGGTGATATTGAGCATCTTACACTTTCTGATTTATAATTCCTTCCTTATCTGGAGTCTTGTATCAAATATCTTTGTACACAAAGCCTGAGGAACATTTGTTAGGAAAGCCCCTTTTGGGACATGCCTGTGAGCCTTCTTTTATAAGCTATAAAAGCAACTGCAGAGCTCTTGAACACCAGAGTGGGCCAGAATTATGCAGGCACAGGACTGGTAAGCAGTGGTCCCTAGCTTGTATGGCTCCATGACCCACACCTGCAGCACCCTGGGTTGCGGAGCTTGTGTGCTCACTCAGGGTGTTTTAACCTGAGCTGTGGGTGCAGGCCGTGCTCTGAGCTCCTGGGCTATGCTTGACCCTCTGTTCTACCTGGGTTTCCTCTTTCTGAAGTGTCTTAAGAGTTGGACAGGTCAGCTCCATACACCCAGCTGTAACAGCCTTCATTCTTGCCTTTCATTTACTTCTCTGCAAAAACAGGGTTAATGTGTTTTGGGCTCCTTTTTGTCCACCCCTAATAACTTTCCAGCCTGATGGCTGAGTGCAGCTGTGTGTGCCAGAGATCTTAAAGATAACAAATTCCTACCAGCTTGATATAAATATATAACCCGGGAGAAGACTCTATCTTTGCCCCTCTCTGCCAAGGGAGTTCAGTCCTTATCAGTTCAGGAGCATCTGTGTGTGAGAGAGAACGAAGAAAAAATATGTTATGAATGCCTATGGGGAAAATTGCATTTGGAGCTGGTATCCTACTGCATCCTGAAGAATACCCCCATGATGTGTAACTCCATGGAAAATGGAAGTATTGCTGGCCCTGCTATGGGCTAAGTACTGTATGAAGTTTTCTGTTGCTTGCTTTCATTGCAGCCTTTCATCATTGGAGCTCAGGGACAGGAGCCTAGCACTGGAGCAGAGGGTTGCAGCCTGCTTCCCAGGGGGATGAGGCTGGTCTATGGGGCAGCTTTCCCTTGCAACAGGCTTTGCTTTCCCTGGGCAATAGCCACTATTTCTAGGCTGGTCCTCTGGCTTGTCACCCAGCTCCTTTTATGCCCTCTGCCTTCTGCAGAAAGCTGTTTAATCAAGAGTGTATCAAAATCCATCTGTCTACACTAGTGTCAACAACTTAGCTTCAGGGACATTTTAAATAATTTTCTTTCCACACTCTGTAATGGATTTCATTGCTGAGGGGAGAGAGAGCAGGACAGCAAAGGTATTTTAATTACATCTGATTGTGGCATCTTGCAAGCTTGCCCTCTCAGTTATTCTGGCGCAGCACCGTTTAGAGCCCACTTTTGTAAGCACAGGCATGTTAGCTGGGGGTTTATTGATTGCAGAGAAAAATATTGATATTTTGCTCCCAACATCATCTTGGGGCTGTGTCTTCTTTCTCTATCTATGTTTTGTGGCATCAGCTTCTTTCACATTAGAGGATTCCAGTCATTCTATATCATGTCCTTAGAAGCAGTAAAAACCAGTCACTACTCCTATAAGTGTGGGCATCATATCTGGGCAGAGCAGAGGTACTTCGCTTGCTCTTAAGAGAACCTGCCTTACTTGAAAGGGAAATGTCCATTTGAACCCTTTCTCCAGTTCATATCTGGGTTTCACAGCCTGTTAACCTAAAAAAGGCTTCCCTTTTCCTCAGTGAAGTCAGGAAAGATTGAAATACTATCTCCAGCAAGACTGTCTTGGGGGGAAGGAGCAGGGAATGAGACAGGGAAAACTGCTGGTCTTGCTGAAGCATCCTGATCAGACCCATGGAGCTGAGTCAGTGAGCAGAGTAAGTCCTGGAACAGGCAAGAGTGTGGCAGGTGCAATAGAGCACACTTTCTGAAGCGCCTGCTCACCAAACAAGAGGAACTCCAGTTGGGTGCATGTTGAAATGCCAATAACTATTGTATCTTTTCATGGCTTTAGGTGTATTTTCACTAGCACTTGAGGCTAGTGTTAGCTGCAATGCTGCCTTTATGTTTTCTGGAGCATTCAGGAGGTAGCAGGTCCCTGTGCCCATACTTAGACCTGCCTTTTCAAACTATTTAGCAGAAATAAAGCTAGAAACTGAAAAGCCAGAAACTGAATCCAACCAGGGGTTTGGAGGAAGCAAAGTTTGTTGAGGAGGAAAGTAGAGAGTTAAGGTCTTTAATTTATTTCTTTTTTAATGGTTGCTAGTATGCCTTTCCATTCTTGCCAAAGCTTTTGGTTCTAATTTAATAAGAAACTTAGTCCTCAATATCAACAATTTTCCAATGTTGGAATGTGTTTGTGTTCCTAACAGCACTTATCTGTGTAATTTCCTCCTCTTACTAGATACAACCTCAGCTGCAGATTAGTAAAGTGTTTTGTTTGTGATTCCTAGGTACTCTACACTTGATGCATTATCTTGCTACAGACGCAAGGCAAACTCTGCTCCTCCCTTCTGGCCTAGAGTGCAATGATGGATTAAGTAGGTAAGTAATAGAGTGGTAATGAGATAACCACTGACACTGAGCATTAATGTGGGAATAAATGAAGTTACCATCCAGAGCTAATGGTCTGAACTATCACTGGTTTGTAATTAATGAACGTTGTGGCTGAGATTTACAAGGATATTTTAGGATGCTGCTTGCATGCAGCTTTGGGTTTTATGGCTTGATTGGAGAGAAATCAGTTAATGCCAAGAACTTAATGAATGGGTAAAAGCTGTTTTTTGTCAGTCTGTAGTGCTCCTTTTGTGGAAGAGGCTAGACTGGTACATCTGCCTTTACTTCAGGTGGAAGTAGGTAGGATGCCGTGGCCTTTGAGTCACTCACTCTAGTGTCTAGTAGAGATGCTGTAAGGCATCTCGGGGGTCTTGTTTCTCCTGTTTTATTAGGGCAGAGCAGAAGGAGCCTTGGTGGAAACAGTACATTTGAAATGAACCTATGCTGCAGACTGACTCGGATTCTCCAGCCAAGACTGAGAATTGAGCAATGACAAGCTGCCCTATTTTTTTCCCTTGAAGGGAAGACATCTAGTTCCTTCTTCAGGTCTTCTCCTTCCTGCAGCTGTGGCTCTGTTTCCTGAATGTTACTCCCTTCCTTGCCCTGTGATCTCGCTCTGGTGTCCTGTGTGATCCAGTGACTGCCCGCGCCTAATGCGTGAGCCTCCTGGAGCAGGAGTTGAGGTGCCCAAGATGCATACATACGGTGTGCCTGTGCTGGGGAGGCCTTGTCTGGAGAGCTGTCCCTCCCTGTTTGCATAGCTTACTAGGCATGTAACCCTGCTAAATGCTTTTCAGATGTGTGAATAACGCTTTTGAGGTGGTTGCTAGGCTCTTGCAGAAGATACAGCAAAGCAGTCAAAATTCTTCATGTTAATTGGTAGGAATACTCCAGCCATCTCGCTGCTGCCTGCCTCATCTTTCCATGGCAACACTCTCTACAGCAGCCCAGGTGCTTGTGGTTGGATATAGTGGGATTTTTTGAGCCCTCTGTCTTCCAAATTGCCCCTTGGAGCATGGAGGGAACATCTGTACTTTTAAAGTATGGGTATCATGTGATACATCAAATAGCTTCCCTTGGTCTAACCATATCCCTTTTTCATGCTGTCAGACGAAAAACTTTGGAAACATGCCTGCATTTCTTTGGTGGAAAGAGCGGTTGTCCTGTTTGTTTTTTTAACAGGGAGAGAATGGTGCTGAAAGAGTCTTGAGTGTTTTCCTTCCCATGGCCTGAGCTGTCACACCTTTCTGTGAGCTGGAGAAAGGAGGGACCACAGCTCATGGCATCTGGTGGGCAAAGGGAAGGGCAATCTTTTTCTCTCCAGCAGAGCTCAGCCTGGATTGAGTTCTGATGTCTCCTTCAGGAAGCCGGGATGGTGGCTGGAAGGAGCCAGAGGTGAGAAGAGGGTGAGTGAACAGGAGGGAGAAATCTCAGGTATTGCATCATCCTCACTTCCACTCCCTGCTGTAAATGTATGTGGGACAATGAGACAGTACAAACAGGGGCACTGCCTGTTTGGCAATGCCCAGCTCTGCCAGCGTGGGCAGAGTTGGGTGTCGCATTGCAGAGGGCTGGTGCAAAGAGCAAGGTGTCCTCTCTTCCTGCTTCCCACCTCTCTGAAACATTCTCCATGTGTATTCCAGCACCGTCATCTCTCTTTCAGGGCATATTTCACAGGCATGTTCAATGATTCCAGGTAAAATGAGACTCAGTGATGAAGCCAGCCCAAAGCTTCCCAGACTTGGGGAGGTTGCCACTTTGCCTGTAAGCATTACGTTTCCTTGGTGCAGGCTCAGTAGTTCCATGCTGAGCAGGAGGAAGAAATTTCCACCTGCTGGACCAGCACAAGCCAAGACTCAAACTTAATAAAGAACAGGTAGTGTATTCAGGGATGTGTAAATCCTCCTTCTGCAGCCTTGGGAAGTTTATTGCCCTCAACAAAGTACACAGTAAGGCTGTAGTTCCTGAGGATCCCCGACAGACTGTTATATGATGAGGGAAAATTACCCAGACTGTTCTCCAGAAGGCAAGTGAGCAGGAATCTTTCTCCAACTGGTTCAAGACAACGTTAATGTAGGGAAAGCCATTAAAAATAATGCTAGTAAACAAGGATAAAAACCAGCAGGGTTGTAACAAAATCTGGACCAGAGTGGGTTTCCCAGCTGTCATGATACTGGGAAATAAAGGGTTAACATTGTGCCTGCTTGCTTAAGCAGTTGCTGTGGTTGGTGTATCAGTCATGCTGCATGCTGTCTTAAAGGAAGCAAGCAGAGGGATGGGGTAAGCTGAGCTCAGAAAGTCTGTGAGGGTTGGTTTGGGGGCATCTGGGTTCCAGTGGCACCTCCTTTGTTCATGGCCCAGTACTTTACTTTAACCCACTCGGGGCCCACCGTGTTTCTGAGAAGCAGTGATGCTGTTTTATCTGATGGTCATTACATCTTGCATCTATTTATGTAATGGTTATATGCTCTCCTCCAGAGGTTGCCTTCAGAATCCAAGCCCTGCTGTAGGGCGCTGAGAACATGCTCACATGTGCTTGCTGGGTGCAAGTGTTTTGTGTGAGCATGTCTGGGAGCAGATCTCCAAGAAGCTGATCCCAAGTTCATCTGGGGAAGGTGCAAAAAGGCATGATGAATGGTGATTCCCTTCTCCATTTCATCTGCTCCAATGTGAATGGGAGCATGTTCAGCCTGGCCACAGTGAGGATTACTGTGAACATATGTCCACTGTACTGGGAAGAAGGCTCAGATTTGATGCCTTTTCTCATACTGGTGGTGGGTACAGGCTAAACAGGGCCCAGAGCATCCCGGGGAAAATACCCTGGCATAGAAGCTGTGTTACTGCGCTCTTTTTTCCAACCCCACACAATACTAACATAAGCCAGACAAGTTCTCCAAAACTCCTGGCACTAGACTTGATGCTTTGCAATAGGTCAAATCTGTTACAACCAAGCCAAAATTTCTAGCCCCAGAACTAATTGTCTTCAATTGTCTGTGTGTTCAAGTGAGCACTTTAGTGGCCAGTGGTGAGTGGTGAGGTACAAAACCACTTAGCTGCTTTCTTACAATGCCTGAGAGACTTGAATAGTATGTTTGAAAAGAAAGAAGGCAACAGTCTCATCTCTGAACACAGCTGTTTCAGCATAGATGAAAAATATAGATGCCAGCAGCCATGGAAAAATTCCCCAGTCCATCAGTCAGTGCAAATAGCAGCAGAAGGATCCTTCGGTTCCCCAAGAGGCGTCATATACCTTGTATGTCCCTAGTGAAGTGGTGTTTGCTCAGATTTCAATGATTTTGATGGCCCTGTTGTGGATGGTCAGGTTTTGCAGGATGGGTTGGGTTCTGGCGGAGTCTTCATGCAGCAGAGTGAAGTGAAGCTGCTGAGATAAAGTGCTGCAGTGCCTCCAGCCGAGTGTGGGGAACTATGGTTGGATGTCTAAAGTCATCTTCATCAAAGAGGTGAAGGAAAGTCTGGGCAGATCAAGACTGATGCTGGAGTGGAAAGCAGCGTGCAGAGAGGGCCAACACACAAGTCCTTTGGAGCTCTCATCCCTGGAGGATCCACAGGCTGCCTTTACGGGGAGACATCAGCCCCTTTTACTCCAGTCAAACTTCCAGCAGGTTCTGGTTTCAGAGGTGAAGTGGGCAGAGGTGGAGAGCTTGCTTTTGTTTTTCATGAGACATCGCCAAGGAATCAGGGTGTGTCGTGGTTTAAACCCAGTCAGGTAATTCGTTCGCTCACTTCCCCCCCTTTCTTGCCCTCCCCCTGCTCTCGGAGGGACGGAGAGGAGAATCAAAAGAATGCAACTCCCACGGGTTGAGATAAGAACAGTTTAGTAACTAAGGTATAACACAGATCACTACTGCTACCACCAATGATAATAATGATAAAGGAAATAACAAGGGAACAGAATACAACACCTCACCACCCGCTGACCGATAACTCGCCCCCCAAGCCCGACCAAGCTCCAACCGATACCTCCTCCAACCCTGCAGTCTCCCAGCCCTTCCGGCTAACTCCCAGTTACATCCTGGGCATGACGTGCTGTGGTATGGAATAGCTCTTTGGTCAGTTTGGGTCAGGTGTCCTGTCTCTGCTTCCTCCCAGCTTCCCCTCCTCCCTGGCAGAGCATGAGGCTCACAAAGTCCTTGGCCAAACCAAAACATCTCTATCAGCTCTGTTCCCGAGCCGAAAGTCAAAACACTGCACTGCACCAGCTACCAAGGAGGAGAAACATGACTGCTACTGCTGAACCCAGGACATTATCCACCCCTTATTCCATACCATTCACGTCATGCTCAGATCCCACATTTTCAATATACCATCACTCTTATCTCGGTGCACTCTTATCTTAGTGCATGGACCAGTCCCTATAAAGCTGCTGCGTCCATCTGGTCCATGTCAGGCTCCATCTCTTGTAACAGTCTTCCAGAGCAGGAGAGACTGTGTGCAGTGTTCACACTCGTGAATAACCTGGGCAATAGTGTCCATTGCTAAGTCCACCCCTCGATCATGAGTCCATCTCTGTGTTGCATCTCTGCTCTGATGGCCTGAAGTGCCATGGGCGCACCAGGCTTAAAATAATTCACTGTTCCCTTCAGCAGTTTCTGCAGCTTGTTGCTGGGGACTCCATACAGCTGCCTTCCATCTCCGACGCTTCCAAAGCACTGGAGGGGCCCAGTGGACTAGATACTTGCCCATACTGTCCCACACACCCTGCCACTCATGACTCTCCAGCCTTGGGGAAAATCTCTTGGTCCCCCTATATTGTTGTCTAACCCCAGACAAGACCCAAACCTGACTCTGCTTAACTTTTGAGATCAGACAAAATGGTTGTGGGTAGAACACAGCCTGTGTGTGTGCCAACATGCTGATCCCCATCACAATCAGCAGGCAGGTCCCAAGGATACCCAAAGGCCATTCAAAACCTTCAGAACTCTCAGTTGATGCTGCTGTACTTGTCACTGGGGCTGGTGTAGCTGCTGTGCTTGCCGGCTCTCCCACCACCAGCTTCTCTTTTCCTGAGTCCAGCTCTTCCTCCTCTGCCTTGCTGGGAAGTGCTGCGTGGTCTCCTGCATCCTCCTGAGGCTCGGCGGGTGGCTGCCGGGGAATGCTCTCGGCCGTCGCGGGGCTCGGCTCTTCCGCGGGGCTCGGCTCCTCCGCCGCCTTATCCCGCTGCTCGGCAGCCGCTTCCTTCTGCTCCTCGACCGCCCCGGCCTCCTCCACCGGCAGCCGTCCCCTGGCGGCCTCCGGCCCCGCTCCCGCCGCCGCTTGGTCCCCGGGGCCGCTCTCCCGGGCCGCTTCAGCAGCCGCCGGCTCCCGGGGCCGCTCCCCCTCAGCTCCCCGCAGCCTCACGAAGATGGAGAGTAGGGTGAGGGCCAGGACGGTGAAGAGCAGCCGGACGGCCAGGTACAAGTCCACGGCCACGTCCGTCCCGCCCTGCTGCTGGAGCCCACCCGTATTACAAGCCATTGCCATAAAGCACAGTGAGACAAGAACCTTAGCCCAGGCCCCACACTTGATAAACACTAACACAGCAAATACCGGCTCTACATAAGTTACAACGGTCTGAAGCTGTGAGATCAAGAAGAACAACTCTGATACCCAATAAATCAGCATTGTGACGAATGACTATTAATCCAGTCAAATCTGTCGTTATCTCAACCCTTCGTGCCCCACGTTGGGCGCCAAAAAGAACTGTCGTGGTTTAAACCCAGTCAGGTAATTCATTCGCTCACTTCCCCCCCTTTCTTGCCCTCCCCCTGCTCTCGGAGGGACGGAGAGGAGAATCAAAAGAATGCAACTCCCACGGGTTGAGATAAGAACAGTTTAGTAACTAAGGTATAACACAAATCACTACTGCTACCACCAGTAATAGTAATGATAAAGGAAATAACAAGGGAAGAGAATACAACACCTCACCACCCGCTGACCGATAACTCGCCCCCCAAGCCCGACCAAGCTCCAACCGATACCTCCTCCAACCCTGCAGTCTCCCAGCCCTTCCGACTAACTCCCAGTTACATCCTGGGCATGACGTGCTGTGGTATGGAATAGCTCTTTGGTCAGTTTGGGTCAGGTGTCCTGTCTCTGCTTCCTCCCAGCTTCCCCTCCTCCCTGGCAGAGCATGAGGCTCACAAAGTCCTTGGCCAAACCAAAACATCTCTATCAGCTCTGTTCCCGAGCCGAAAGTCAAAACACTGCACTGCACCAGCTACCAAGGAGGAGAAACATGACTGCTACTGCTGAACCCAGGACAGGGTGACAGAATTATTTTTGTGGAAATAAGTATGTGAAATACTTTTTCATTTTGATTATTTGAAAACTAAAACTCTTCATGGCTTTTAAAATTCATGTCCCCTCCAGGTTGTTTTGTTTTGTATTCCCTCTCCCTTATTCCTCAGAGAAACCATCCAAACCTACATAGTGTGTTATTTTTTTAGGAAATAAAATCATTTTCCAGTCAAACCTAGGCTGGAAATGCTTCTGGTGATTCCTTTGTCTGAGAAATTTGGAAAAGCCTGGATGGAGCAGAAACCAGGCTGGTTCAGGGAGAGCTTTCTTACATTTGAAGACCCACCTGAGCAAGGGAGTTGTTTCAAAAGCTTTTTATTTGAAAAATAAAATTTTAATAGGCTTTGTTTGGGAGAGTTGGGCTTCAGCCATTCTTCTGTTGCAGATCTTGTATGCTACCAGGATCTGGAGCCTGGCCCTTCTGGTCCCAGCTTCCCCTGATTGCTTCATTGCTGATCTGTGCCATCTCTCTCTGAGTCCTGTATCTTGAGTGCTTTGCTCTCTAGGGACACCACTTCTGCAGGGTGTAATAGAGGTGATGCCATGTTTGCTTTGACTATACTTCGTACTGAAAGTTTTTCTTAAGAATGAGGATCATATGCATGAAAAGCTGTGTCTTGAGTGCAGTGGGGACCTCTTGCTGTCGCACAGTGAGGGGTCCAGGTCCTACATTCTCTGTTTAACTCTGCTCAAGCTCCTCTCCACCAAGAACCTCTTTCTGAGGTTCAGAGCCAGGCACCGGAAAAGCAGATTCAGTGGTAGCGACCACCGAAGTCCCCTGCAGAGTGCCTTTCCTTGGCCTTCTGTTTCCCTGCCTATAAATCAAGGCTGTTTTAATGGTTCTTTGAGACACATCTTTCTGTTCCCTCATGCAACAAAGGAATGAAAGGAAAACCACCAGGCAATGGCTGAAATGAGATGAGTTGCTCTGTCACAACCCTTAGTAATCGTGGGTTTCAAGGACTGTTTTTATCATCTCCAAGTGATGGCCCAGAGCTAGCTTGTTTGGAGGCAAGGTACATCAAGGGTAGAGGATTGTGCTGGAGAGCCTTTACATATGACAGGAGTGGTGGCAAGTGCCTATGTGTCTGGAAATAAGGCAGTAAGTGGGCTGGATAGTGGAGACCACCAGCTCCTGTTGCTGGCTGCTCTGCGAGCTGCCAGCTCTGCTGTCTAGCACTGTCCAGATCCACAGTGTAACCGCTCATTTCCAGTCCCTGTCTTGTCTGTCCCACATACTGCTTCTTCTATAAATAGCCTGGTGGGAAGTGGAGTAAAGAGCCACTGCAGATGGCCCCCAGTTCCCCATGCAGTCGTGTGTGAGATCCCAGATACAGGCTGTCAATTCTTTGCCTCGAGCCACCCGTGAAACCTCATTAAAAATGGTGTCCTCTTCCTTAACCCCCATCACCCCCTCCCTTCCCACTTCAACTTGCCTACATTGAAGCACCCTTATTAAACATGCACTTCTAAGCAAGGAGCGCTGACTTTCCCTTAATTGAGGCATAATAATTAGAGCATTAACACATTAGGAGGGTGAGACAGCATGTTTAGCTTTTGTGATTAATTATCTGAGGATTGTAATAAGTTGTTAAGACATTAATTACTCTGGCATGTTTATTGCTCTTTATTGCAGAACAGACACTTGGTAGCAGCAAGTGCTGGTTCATCTTGAAATACAGTGAGAAACAGGCTGGATGGAGGAGACCACCTATTCATCCACAAAACAGTGAGCTGCTGCTGTTGCTGTGGTCAGGGTGAAGGCATCCTCCTGGTCGGACCTTGATTAGCAAATAAGTTTATTTCTCTTCCATCTCCAGGAGGCCACAGATGGTATCTGAGTCCCTTAGGACAATCTAGGACCTAGAAGGTCCTTTCTGATCTTTTCATTTGTATTTTTCTCCTCTTTCAAATGAAGCGTTTCCTTTCCTGATGGTTTGAGTTCCCCTCATTTGGATCTTTGTGTTTCCAGGGATCTTACCTGGTTCAGAGTGTCAGCAGTGGTGAAGGAATGAACCGCAATTCTGGTGCCTTGTTTCACACCTCCAGTGGATGAATTTTCTTCTGGGGAACTGGGAAGGGTGTTTCTCCAGCAGCAGGAGAGGTTTGGACTAACATAGCCTGCTCTTTACACAGCAAGCTGCTCTGTAGTCCCTAGACAACTCCACGCTGGTTTGTCAAATTGGGTCTAATGGCAAAGTTCAAGCCTGTAGGATGAGTAGGTCTTGTACGCTCCTGAAAGTCGAAGAGAAAAGGCAGATGAATCAGCAGGAAGTTATGGTGGGCCTATTCCCAGCTCTGCTCTTCCCAAGAAATATGCATGATGCCACACTCTCCCCACCTCAACCTCCCTCTGCTGTTACGTGGACTGGGGAATCACAATGGCAGTCCCAGCAACAGTCATGGATAAAGATATTTGGGAAGATGATAAAGACAAGAAGGTGGGGAAGCTGTGGGTGTGATGCATTGATACAGATTTCCCTTGGGACCCCTGGACTTGATGTTTCTGATTTCTGGTCTATTGCTGTGTCCTCATGTTACTGCAACGCAAGCTTGGGAAAGCAACTGGTGGGTGCAGTGTTACTGCAGTGGCTTGGGGCAGCAACTGGTGGATGCAAGGGGCAGGAAGGGGGGGTCTTCCCCTGTTGCCTCGTGTTAGAGATGAGATGAGCCTGACCAGTCTTTGTCCCCCTAGGACTGACCCAGCAGTCTCTTTCCATATGGCTTCCACGAGCTCAAGTTAGTGTCACTGTCAGTCAGTTGTCTCGGTGGCTGGGGAGGAAAAATCCCTTCCCTGTGTACAAGGTGGGATTTGTCTTGTGTCAGCTGAATGCAATCTGCAGACTTCAGCTCCTTGGAGCCCCTGCCTGCCTCTCACTAGCCCAGCCTGGTTTCGGCATTCACTGTCAGGTACCTGCTTTCTGCATTCAGAGTATAGAAAGTGTCAGCCTGGCATTCCCCACTCAGCTCCTAGGGACAAGGCAGGTCCTGACTCATGTGTTTTATCATTAAAAAGATAATTTCCTCTAGATGTGTGCAATAAGACAATGGGTGCTGACCTGTGATCCTGGCATTGTGCAGCGTTAATGATTTCCCTCTGCAGATAATAAGCAATGAATGTATATATTTGGGGGAGATCTGATTTTTTTCCCCCCTTTTAAGACTGCTGTCTTCCTAGGCCAGACTTAATTAGCAGACCTCATTATTTCCTCAAATGTAACTTGACTTCCATTGAATGAAAATTGTTCAGTGGATGGGGAGCAGCAGAGCAGTGCTGCAATATTCATATTGTTTTAATTGCAACATTAACATTTCATGCCACTCTTGGCATACTTTCAGGTGCAGCCCTTTAGCTCAATGCAACACTGTGAAAGGTTGGATCAGAACAATTAAGGCAGAGTGACTGGATTTCTGGATTTTCTCTTTTTTTTTTGTTTTTTTTTTTTTGTTTTTAATGAACGCAAGCCTGGATTCAATCCCCATCACTCCTTTTGTTGGGTGAAACAGGGAGTCAAGCAGCCCTGAAGTGTAAATCCTTGGTTTGGAATAAAGGATGTGCTGTAGTGTATGCTTAAATACTCTTTCTGTGGAACTGAAGCCCTGCAAGGACAAGTGATACGTGATCCACCAGGCTGACAGCACATCCTGGGACTTGGCCTTTACCAGGTGATTCAGAGAAGCCCCAGAATGCATCTGGCCAGCTGGGCCAGTGTCACATAGGAGCTGGAGGGAAAAGGGCTATTTTCCACTTCTTGATTACTTCCAGGACTCTGGAATGAGCGAGGCTGGAAATGACACCATGAACAGATGACAACTGGGGCAGTACAGATCCTAAATGAGCACAGGGATTGCCCCACTCTGTCCCCAAATTGCATGTAAGGTTTGGCTTCTTTGCAATGGGGTCAGCCTCCGCAAGCTCCAGTCATCTTTGCTGCCTTGCCATGTACCATGTGCTTCTTGCTAATTCTTCCTATGCTAGAGAGTGGTGACGAGTGATGTGAGGTCCCAGCAAAACCAGCTCCAGGTTCTCACTGAAACAGCCTAATGAGGGTCTCCTAATTGGGTCACTGAAAGGAGGTGAGCAAGGAAAGCCAGCCGGCAGGTCTACTAAATAGCTTCTTGGTGTTGCTCTCCCAAGGCTGTATCACACTGTGTAATGTGCAGACTGTTTAACTGACTTTAAAGGAGAACCAAGAGACTGTTGTGTCCCCTTCATCCTTTAGAAGGAAGAGGAAGGGTCGCTAGGACTTACTCTGTCCTGCCAGGGGAAGGCTGAGCTTTGCACCCATGCTGCTGCCTGCCAGCTCTGTGCTGGCACTGGCTTGCAGATTTGTACTTGGGGTTGGTGAGTTGATCTGGTCTGCAGAAAGGACCTATATGTAGAGGAACAGGCACCCTCTTACACAATAACAAATGCCACTAATCAGTCAACGTGCTAATGGGTAGTTTGATGTGTGATACTGTTGTGAGTTCCCTGGGTGGCTGCTTTGACTTGGGGCTGCCTTCCCACTTGCTGGCACTTGCTGGCACTTGCTGGAAGTGGATGAAACATCTTGGTGGAAGGTGAAATCTCTCTCTGTGTGGCAGAGACGCGATGAGAGGGTTGCAGGAACAGAGCCCATCAGTGCTCCCCCTTTGACCTGGGCATGTCTCTTCCATTTCAGGGAGCATCTGAACTAATCCATAAGTCTGGGGTGGCAATTCAAGCTGGAAATGCAGCAGGACCTCAGCTTGCACACTGGCCCCCAGCAAGGAAAAAGCACACGGCCTGGTTCCAGAGTCTTTGAAAAGCCTTTGAAAAGGCTAACATGCCATCTTAGCTGGCTGTCTCTCCTGTCAGCTGAGCAGGCTTGAAACCTTCACCCGTTAGTACTGTGTGCAGTGGGATCCATGAAGTCTCATTTCTTGTGGATATATCACTTGAGTTTGGATTCTCTAGTGTCTAGTAAGCTGCTTGTGCTGAATGGAGCATCTCCCCTTACTGGGGTATTTATAGCATCACTCCTTCTCCCACACAGATTGTCTGATGTCTAATAAGGGATGATACACTACAGTTTGGAAGGTGCTAATAATGTCTCTTCTCTCTTTAACAGTCTGTTCCCATGAAATTTATAGACTCTGACTGTCTCTCAGACCTCTGTCTCTGTCAGATCAGGTTGAAATCTGTTTGCTGTGTCAGAAGTTGCGGGGAGTGGGCAGAGGACAGACTGATGCAGCAGGAGTGCGTATGCTTTGCACTTCTTGGGAAATTAGGCTGAAAACGTGCCCAGCTCTGTTTCCTGCAGATCTGGAGGGGCAGCTGTGGTTCAGATCACTAAATTGTGAGTTTGGGAAAGCAAGCTGGTTGGGTGGGAGGAAGGCGCTGAGCTCAAAACGTACCCAGGAGAAGAGCTGCTCTGCCCCCAGCCGTCTTGCATGCCATGCTGAGGGCTCCTCAGGCACGCTTGAGCTGCCTGGGGCGATGAGTGCAAGTACAGAGCTTGGCCTCTTGCGAAAGACAGCCCCTGAGGACAATAAACGAGCAAGCCCAGGGCTCTTGGCTGGTGTGAAGAATTGCCAGGCTAAAGGATAATGAATGCCACAGCAGGAAATAGAGCATTTCTCTGAGGCCATTCATCCCCTTTATCACTCTGCTAACAAGCCCCAGAGTGACTTCAGAGAGACTTCTCTGGAGCAGCACCATCCCTCAGCCCTGCTTATGGCTGGGTGCTGGGGGTGAGGAATACATTGCATGGCAGGAGTGCTCAGTGGAAAACTGCCGACCAATCCCAAATAACAGCTCCAAGTCTGGGTGTCTGCAGTAGGGACTGTGCAGTGGCTCTGGCTTGGCGTGGAGACCATGCCCTTCTTCGGGCCATGTGCGGTGCCACCTGAGAGATCTGTATGAAAAAGCCAAGCATCGATCTTTCTTAAAGAACTCTGGGGCAGCAAGTGCCCTGCAGCACCTTAGGAGGATTGCTCTATCCTAACTCCCACCTTGTCTAAGATTTAAAATTCATAAGATTTATACAGGACCCAAGAGGAGTTTGGGACTGCTGGCACAGAGGTAAGTTGGTTCTGCTTCACTTGCTGCACAGCTGAGTCTTGCACAAGGTGGAAAGGGCAGGAGTGATGTGCTTTTCGAAAGAGCTAATAAAAGCTAATTCATCCCTTTGCTCCAAGACAGTAGGAAGCATTAGTGGCTGGCTGAGTGCCTCCTCTGCTGTGGCAGTGTGCTGGGTGCCTCCACTTTCCCTCTGGCTGGGAGCGAAGCATGTCCTCCGGTGGAGGAGAAGGTGTCTGTCAGCAAGGGCTGTTCCCTCTGCAACTGCATCAACAGGCATCCCATAGCGCTGTCTGTAGCTGATATCGGAAGAAAAACAGCCAGATAACCCAGACAGGTGGGTCTGGGCATGAGGATGGACATCTCTCAGACAATTTCATGTGCTGGGCTTCAGCTCTCAGCAAGTGCCTTTGTCTTTGCTTGGACCACAGCTCATGGGAGCAGAGAAAAGTACCATCCACAATTAGACTGGGCTATAGGAGGCCCCCAAAAGGGCTGCAGCCATTGGTGACCAAATGGGTTGGAATACTTTCAGCAAGCACCCTGAGTGTACTGTGTGTGCAGGTATGTTATGTGCTACCCTGTGTGCTCACCTACCAGAGTGATTTGTGTCTGGGGCATGGTGTGCAGTGGCTAAGCACTGAGTAGAGCTAATTGCCAGTAATTGGAAGTTTTTTTCTTTTTCTTCCTGATTTCTTAGTTTCTCCTTCTCCTCCAGATTTAGCTGTTGGAGGACACATTTTGTGTGGTCTGTGGTAAGCATCCCACATCCAGTGCCAGTGGCAGGCAGAGCGGGGAAAAGATACGAAAAGGGGGAGGAGGAGAAAGGAAAGCAAACAGGAGAGGTTGTATTGTGTTTCGGTGTCCTCAACAAACATTGGTGGTTTTGTAGGGGCAAGAAAGGAGTAGAAAAGCTGCAAAGATTTGCAGGTAGAAGGTCCTATGATGGGTAATTGGTTTGTTCCAGCAAGGGCAGACACAGCAGGAGAGCAACAGTTGGTGGGGATGATCTGGAGCTGTGGCTCTGGAGCAGAGGGGAAAGATTGGTGTGTCTTGGAGCCGGGCTTCTCCTTGAGTGTGAGCAACACACCAGCAAAAGGATTGTAATCTTGATTTTTTTCTCTCCGTTTTTTATGGGTAGGTCTCTCAGCATTTTAAAAGAAAGCTAACACCGCAGATTGGAAAACTCACATCTTGAGGCTTCAAAGACTAGTTCAAAGCCAGCCAGAGGAGCCAAGGCCACTGCCTGTGAGTACCAAGCCCCTGCTACGTGCTCTCCTCCCTCACCCCAAATAGCCTGCACTCCAGACCTTGTCCTTTTTCCCAGCCACTGCACTGACCAGACTGATGATGGGGAGCTCATTGGAGGCCTGTCATGACCCACAGAGTGGCTACAGGACATGTTGCCTCTTGTGGCCACGTGTAATCAGCTGGACTGCTTCTTGGAGGGAGTCACACTGGCACATGAAATAGCCCTTTGAAGAGGGGTTGAATTTATAGGGGTGCACTGTGATCCCAGTCCGTGAGACCCCTGTTCCTGCCTTGCCCTCTCTCTGTGTTACAGGAAGAGATCACTTACAATCTATAAACATCTGGTGCTTTTTCTTCTTTTTCCAGCACCATTAAATGTCGAGTTGAAGTGAAACACAATACATCACCTTCCTCATGGGCTGCCATTCAGCCAACAGGAACCAAGATTAGCCTTCAATCACACAGGGGCTGGAGCTGTAGGAAACCTTCCTGAGGACACACTAGCGGAACATTTTCATTAGCGGAGGAGAACCTGATGGAGATGAAGTGCCCCTTCACCTCGACTGCCAGACCTCTCCCCTGCCTGGCATTAACAGGATTAGGAGATGCTGAGGAGCTGGTGCCAGCTGCAACACTTTAAGTGCTGTCTCATCCAGATGTGAGAAACTGCTGTGACACACTGAAGCAGCACTTTTGTAGCATGGTGGGGGTGGCTTTGGTTTTTCTCTTGCCTATGGATGAGCACTCATTGCTAGAAGCGAACTGGTTCTCTCCGTGCTATTAGCGGAATGGAGGAAGAGGGTGCTAGGTTGCAAGCCACGTACCTGAATGGGTATCCTAGCATGGGCCAGAAAAAGGTGTCCTTGGATGATAAGGTCCATAGGTCCAGAAGGTATCATGGGCTCTGCCTCCTGCAACAAGTTTTGCAAATATAACAGGACTGCCTTAGCAGTAGTGGAGTTTTTCTCTGCTCCATGGAAAGCTGTTCCACAGCCCACTTTTGCAGGCATCTGCTCTTGGCCTGCGTCCCCTCAGGACAGTTAAGATAACCAGCATTCACTTCTGCTATTGATGTCTCTTTTGTATTGGAGAAACATACCCTACACCCTAGCTGGAAGGCTGGGACAGACCTGTCTCTCCTGGTTACCAGGATTAGCCAGCAGGGTCCCTGCAGTTGGTATCTGCCATCCTCCACCTCACCTCCCTGGGGCTGGTGTGCTCCCGACAAAGACAGGATCTGTCTCTTTCACTCACAGCTGAAGGATGCTTTGCCTGGTCCTGTCTTGCAGGTTGGAAGGAAATAATTCTAATTTATGTGGCATATTCCTTTGGGGGGATGAGGGGAAGAAAAGAGAAAAAAGCCCAGACACAACAGAAACTCTGGCTATTCTGGGTATTTTTAGCTCTTTGCAAAGAGCCGTTAACATTAACCTCTCTCTTACTCTCTTCTCCCCCTGTGCCCCCCATTTCTGTATTTGGGGCTGCCTGCAATACTGCATTAACGTCATATCTCTGTGAAGACAAGCCAGTGCTCAGCACTCCCCAAGACTATGACTCACAGGGAGCTTCATCCTCTCTCCTTGCTGTCTGGGTACCCTCCACATGCACAGCCCTCAGAAGAGGCTGGGAGGGTGACAGGCACAGAGATGTTCATGTCTTCTGAGATGAGTTTTATGTGACTTGAGCTTCCTGAGAATGAGGTGATACAGCCTAGCAGCTACAGCATTGGTTTGGGACACAAAATCAGGTGGCTTCTGGTTTGGGAGCATTCTCATGTTAGGGTACTTCTCGCTTCCCCCTCCTCCCTTTCAGAACTGAGAGCAGCCAAAATTAGAGGAAAACCTGGCTCCGAGCATTTTCTGCCCCCCAGTCCCTTCACCTGGATTTTTTAGTTTTTCCCTTACAGTCTCAGCTGGCTGAGTTTCAATGCCAGCCTATTGAAAGGAAAGGCACGTGCTGGCTTACGGAGGGAGAGAGACCTGAGACAGGATAAATCTGGAGGCAATGAGGTTGGGGGGAGGCAAGTTGCCTGCTCTGACACTTTTATTATGGAGCCTGGCTGCTTGGGAATGAATCTTTTTTGAAGCATATGTTGCTGGATGACATTTTTACCAGGTCTCAGCAGTAACCTTCGCCACACCTCGCTGCCCAGCCCTGTCCTTGCCTGTTCCTGGGACAAGGGGAGGGAATGTCAGCTGGAAATGCCACAGGCAGTAGGGCTCAATGGTGCTTAATGCACCTCCAATGAGTCTGAAAGCACCCGGACTTTGGCACTAGAAACTCTTCAGGCTTTGGTGACTTCAGCTTATGGATGCATGTGTTGTTTTGCAAAGGAGGTTTTGGCTTCTACATACGTTTCTTTATTTCAGAAATGGAAGAGGATACAACAGAGACCAAAATGAAATCCTCCACAGAGTTGCCCAGAAGGAGGGATAACTTCAAGGAAAGATTATTCCTTGGCTCTAGAAAAGGAAGATCTACTTGTTCAGTAACCTGGTGATGAGCTACTGGTTCTTGCTTTGTGCAGAGGCCTTGTGCAGGGGTGTGCAGAGACTGCTGCCCTCTCTACTCCTCCCCTGTATCACTGTCAACTTAGATTTCACATTGAGAGGGTGATGTTGTGGCTGGCAGTGACAATAGCAGGATGTCACTGGTCGAGGTGAAATCTTTCCCTTCGTGAGGTTACTTCTTCCTTTCCGTCCCCTTGGCTTACATCAAGAACCGCTGGCTTTTAGTAACAAGCAGGGCATGCATACGAGCTGCTGAAAGGGTGATGTATACTGTGCTGATCACCACTTTTCTTGCTGTGTTGGTAAGCAGCACTGTGTCACTGATGTCTCTTTGCTGTGCGGTGGCCTGGGACAGAGGGAAAGCCCTTGTCACTGTCTGAGATAAATCAGGGCCATTGGGAGTTGCCGTGTTTGCTGTCATGGGAGCATTGCACAGCATGGTCCTTTGCCATGCTGGCAGTCTTATATCAACAGGAAGTCTGCTAGGGATGTCTATTCAGAGTCCTGGGGGCCATCTGTGCTCTTTGGGGGCCAGGCCTGAACTAAATCAGGGTCTGAGGGGCAAACATGTTAATGTTCTCCGCAGGCTGTCTCTCACCTCCTCTGAAATGGGAGCTAATCTTGTAGAAGAGTGCTTGGGCCCAGAAGAGTTCCAGCAGCCTCTCTGACAGCTTTCTGTCCTCAGGGACCAGTTCAGCAAAGCTATAGTGCTGTTCTGGGTGCAGCTTTCATTTTCCACCTGATTACAGAGGAGAGAATGACCCTGCTGCTGCCAGGCCATGGTAGAAAATAGAGGTAGGGGGTGGGCTTCTTTATTTCATCCAAGATTCTGGTTCTCTATTAGCCCTGATTCTGTCTTGCATCTTTTCCAGCTGGAGCCTGTCTTTATTTTGTTTTGTTTTGTTTTTTTTCTTTTTCCCTTTTTTCTTCACCTTATTAAAAATGGCTTTGCCATCTGCATCTGTCAGGAGTCTGCCGAACTGGGTCTACGGCTCAGTGAAGATACAAATGTGTGGGCTATCCATCATCAGATAAATCCTCTCCTTGCTCCCACATCTCAGCTGCTAATAGGAATGCTGGGAAAGGGGTAACTGTTTTACCCTGCTTTTTCCTACCATCCTCTTCCTTCTCCCTTTTTCATCCCATCTCTAGGCCTATTACAAGGCAATTGGAAGGCTGGAGTTCAAGGACACTTGTTGGTCCAGGCACTTTTTGAGAGGTAAGGATGGAATGGAAGAGATTGACTTTACCCAAGTGGCTTAAAAATGTAGCTTTGAATGGATGTTTTCAGCAGTGTTGTATATGACTCCATGTAATATGCGCTGAAAGCACTCGTGCTCCTGCATGTCTTGTCCTCACTGTGTCCCCTTTCCCTGGTGCAGATGACCAGCACTATGGGGCTCTGCAAGGAGGAATGCACCATATATGAAATCCTCAGTTGCTACAACTCTGCAGGGTCACTCAGGTACCCAGAGGGAGATGACAGCCTTCATTGACACCCATGGATTTGCTCATCTCCTCCTGCCTCTCTGTTTTCTGCAGTCTGGTACACGAGCTGCTTCCCTGGCCTTGACATACTAAGAAGCTTTCAGCCAGGTGGGCTCAGAGGAGCAGGCAGGCAGAAAATGAAATCAGTCTTTCCATGCTTTTGCCACAGCTATCTGGTCAAGGAGGGGAATTTTCTGGGAGGGCAGACCCCTGCTTTGGCAGGAGGAGAGAAGAAACAGCTTGAGCTTGCTGTTTCTATGACAAACAGATGGATGTTCAGTGAGGACCCAAGAAAACCCTCTTCCTTCAGGCTAGCTGCAAGCCCTCCAAGCCAAAGCTTTGTGCTGACTTGAAAAAAGTATCGCTTCGTTGATGCTCGGCCTGAATTACCTCTTCTAGGCACTTGATTCAGGACAACCTTCCCCTCTTGCCACCGACTCCTGGGAGGAGCCAGCTGTATGCCTGCAACCAGGCAAGAATGCAGCAGGAGTCATTGAGCAGTGAGGAGGGAGGAAGGCAGGTGATGGCAGATTCCTCTGGCATCTCCACACTGCAGGGCTCTTGGCGAGTGAGTGCTCGTCTGCTTTGAAAGCTTATTGCTCCTGCAGGTGGGAGCCAATTTGTCTGCTTTCCTGCCCAGGTGCCATCTGTTTGTAGGATTGCCTGTGTGGTGGATGAGCACGATGGGGATGCGGAATGGAAGGGGCTGCTGGGATAGGAGAGATGAGCCTAAAACTTTCCATGAGTAACTTCAGCACTTCTGGCTGCCATCACTCCTTCTCCCCTGCATCATGGCAGGGAAATCACAGCCTGTCATTTGCTGTTCCTGGAGTGTGATAGGAAGCTGAGGCACTACTAATAGCAAGCTATCATTTTAATGCTAATTTCCTACTATTAGTTCAGGTTGGGGGAGGCTCAGCCTGGGTGGAAGGAAGCCATTAGCAGATGGAGAAGGTGGAATATGTGGGGATTGTTCTGCGCCCTGAGAAGGGACTTCCACCACTAGAAAAACTGGTAGTGGGCTCTGGGGTCAGTCTCTGGTGGATGTGGGAGGGAGGAAGGGAGAGGGACGCTTTGTTTCAAGTCATCTTCCTGTGGGGATTTCTTGAGTGCTTCAGGCTTTGGCTTGGATCTGATGTTTGCTGCTTGTTGCCAGCCCTCAGTGAGTTGACCCAGGGGATTCTCAGAGTGCTGGCAGGACTGCAGCTGGTGGCATGGTTGTCCTTTTAACAGAGGACAAACCAGGGTTGTGTTTGTCTTTTTGTGAGGAGCTCCCCAGTTCAGGAATGTTCAGGACATTCCTGTTGGGTGATGAGCTTCAAAGCAGGGAAATTTTGAAGCCATTCTTGAGATACCCAAGAGCAAAAAAAGCAATTTGACCTTTTGATATGTGAACAAGCTCAATTTCCCCAAGCTGGAGAGCTGTTAGGAAAAATCAGTGGTGGAGCTTGGAGCTGTGATGGAAACTGAACTATTTCCTTTCCCTTTCCAGAGATGTGAGTCCCCACATCTAACCTGTTTTATCAGTCTCTTCTAGCCATGCCAGACAAGTGGAAGAGCCTGTGCTGCTCCCCACACTGGTGTAGTTGCCTGGGAGCTCTTGGAGAGTTTGAAGAGAGGTTACCAGGTGCAGTAGGAGTGTAGGGCTCGTCTGGCATTGTGTTGGCAGCAGTCAGAGAGGTTCCTCTATCATGCTTGGAAACACTGGCACATGAGCTGATATGCTGTGCCTGGCTGAGAAAAAACTGATTGCCCACTACTGAGGGGTAGAATTGTTTTAAGACAAGGGCCCAGTAGTCTCCTTGCCTGTGGTTGCTTTTTTTGCTCTTGGGTATCTGAAGAATGGCTTCAGAATTTCCCTGCTTCGAAGCTCATCACCCAACAGGAATGCCCAGGCTCCTGAACTGGGGAGCTCCTCACAAAAAGACAAACACAGCTCTGCTTGGTCCTCTGTTAAAAGGATAACCATGCCACCAGCTGCAGTCCTCACAGCACTCTGAAGCACATCTCCTGAAGACCCACCAGCCTGTGCTGATCTAGACCATGGGCTTCATCATTTCATATGGAAGCATACGTAGATTTTTTTAAAACCACTTAAAGACCACTTTGAAGCTCTTTTGGCATCTAACAGAGGCAATGAAGGGATGAAAGCAGACACAAAAACGGGAAGGAAAACCAGGAGCTGTTTAAATGGCGAAAGGGATGGAAAGCCAAGAGGGGACCGTTCTGCCAAAGGCTACATTAGCAGAGTAGCATTGCTCAATGTGGTTACCAACAATCAGATCTGCCCCAGGGTGAAGCATGACTTGCTGCATTTTAGGGAGTTGTTTCCACCTGAAAAAAAAAAAAGGCTCCGGTCTTTTTCTTTTGTAGAGCCTCTTCCCTGCCTTGGGCTAGGAAAGAAAGTGAAATATGAAGGGTTACTTTTTCCTAGCCAAGAAGAATGAAACAAACTTCCCCTCGGGTAGCTGACTGAGGAAATCAGCACCTTACGTATTCCCAAGAATAATACAGTC